TTCCCTACATTGTTTTTCTTCCTGAGAACAAAGAGTCAATGAAAATCCTTCTGTTTGGGATGCCGTTCAAAAAAAACATGGAAAATAAAGACAGTTTAATTGCAGGGGATTTCAATAATGTTTCAAAGTGTAAAAATAACTGTGTGCCTGGTACACAGAGAACCACTTCTCCTTCTCTTTGTGACTCAGGAATCATTGGAATTCATAAAAAAGGAGGAAAACAAGAGATAGGAGATGTTTTGCTTAGTACAAGCAGGTCACAAGTCTAATGAGGCTTGAGCAGTGTTTGAAAGGAAGTTGCTGACTGTATCTCCATGTGTACCTTTTTTGTTCCTTGCCTTGGATTTGCTGGTCAGTGACATGCCTCTTTGCTTGGCTCTCTATAGAGTCTGTAGCCTAGAGGAATTTGGACAGGGTGGTACAGACATCGCCGATGGAGACTCTGATCACTAACTATCCCTTTAAATGCAGTCTCATGACTTAGACCTTGTTCCACTACCTACGAAAGAAGGGGACAGACATACAAACAGAGATCCAGTTGAGACGCACAGGAGGACATAGCAAGGCAAGGCAAGGCAATTAAGCACAGTTAACTGTGAGTAAATCTGAGGGGTGAAAGGTGCTCTCTAGAGCAAAGGGCATAGAAAGAGAGTTGGATTAAATCCTACACTGAAACTGACTGGAGTTTATTTTTAAAAACATAGATTTACATACAGTGTTTAGAACTAGAATTATGGATAAAAATTACTTTCATTTTAGCCTTTCAGGGAATGTATTGATTTAGAAATTCTAAATATTCCTTAATTAGAACAGGGTTGGAATGATGTTGTTGCTGTGATGGTCCAGAAAATATATGAGATGCAAAGGTTTTTTGGTGATACTGTTTATTAAACCCAGTGCATAATTAGGAGAGATGTTAGACAAGCTTTCAGGAATAGACTACCCTGATCTGAGGAAGGGCAACCTGTTCCTCTAAGCTTGCCTAACATCTCTCTCTCCATAGGTCCAATAAATGATATCACCAAAAAAACCCTTTCTTCTCCTTAATTATAACAGTAACTCCAAGATGGTTAAAAATATTATTGCTCCACCATAAAAATGCAAAGCAGAGAGTTTGCATAGCCATCACTGCTGTTCCCCAATGCTACCTTATTTGCAGAGCTTGTAGTGTGTATCATATAATGATACTTGAAAACTTCATAGCAGACTTTTGAAAATTAAGACCAAAATGTTCTAACCCAATGGCTAAAAATAGACATCTGCATTCATCTTTGAGTATCTAAACCAAATGCACCTGTCTGTAAAGGGGTTGAGTGCCTTACTCTGCAGGGTAAGACAGTGGCAGCTGTGGATGCCCAGTACCAAATGCCAGACATGAGGCACTTCAATTTGATAATGATATCCTAAATATTAACCAAAAAATAAAATGTATTATTTAACAGGGAGTTAAATTTTTAATTTGCTGGATAGTTGCTTCTTGCCTTATAAAGTAAAAATATATTTTTATAGAAGAAAATTTTCTGCACTGTTCTGGTCAACTATCAATGAAAATTGTTACATTGCATATTTTAAGGAAAGATTGGTTCTTAATAGCCAGTGTAGAACATGTTACTTATGATAACACCATCTGGATCTTTCTGGCTATTTATTTCTATAGTAAGTTTCACTTGAATACACATGTAAAGCAATCATTCACTTGTCATTTGAGCATCCAACTTTTCTGAATATCTGAATTGTTGATTACAGGTGTAATAGTCTGTTGGAGATATTCCATACCCTGCCTTCATGTTGTCTATTCTATTGCCCTGGCTCATTCTGTACTCTTGCTTCTTAAACAATGGGAGTTGTGACCTCTATCATGAACTGAAGGAGCTAATGACTGAATTTGCCATTAACCTCTACCAGCAATTAGCAGAACCAGGGAACAGAACTAACCTGATCATTTCACCAGCAAGTGTGATCATCTCTTTGGAGTTGCTGCAGTTTGGAGCTCAAGGAAATACTTTTGCACAGCTGGAAAATGCTCTAGGATACAACATCCATGGTAATATACTGTTTGAAAAATTACCTATTAATAACTGTTTTATATTATACAGTAAATACCGGTGGGAGAGGGGGAGGGATCCCATAATTTGGTTGTCTAATGTCAGTTGAGTTCTAGGAACAGTTCAAATAGTCAGTATGAATACATTCTTCCTACTTATTTTTGATCAATGCTCACTCTTTTTCTTCTAATTCCAAAAGATACATTTAAAAGAAGAACACACACAGAGGGTTTGGAAAGAGCATGTAAGAGGCAGATGTCTTCAATTTAGCTAAATTAATGTTGGATTCTCAGATAGTCTTCTCGTTTCAACCCAAGATTAATTCTACCACCTGAAATAATGTAGCAAAAGCTATATTTCTTGATCTGCCTAATGTTTATAAAAAACAGACGACTGTTTCATCTTCAAAATTTGTAGCTGATATGCATTCTACAGGCAGTATAGCTGATGTTAATATTCTTAACCCTAACATTTATTTTCATTACACAAAGACAAAAGTTGAAATCAATAGAGATTTCATTGTTCTCAGCTGTCTTTACTTGGTCATTATTACTGTTCTGAAAATCACTGCTATTCAAAGACAGGGATTCAATCACAATGAAAGCTAGCTATTATATACAGTTATTGCTATATATAATATAATTTTTCTGACACCTATAGTATCAGTAGAATAACCAGACTGTAAAACAAAGGGCCCCTACAGATGAGCAGGGAGGCAGCTTCAATGTGCTGGAAATCGATTAATCAAGTCTGCTGGAGCACAGAAATAAACACGCTCCAGCAGATTCTGACATCGTGTGTATCAGCATCTCCGTGCTGAAAAATAGTGGCAGGGCGCTTTGAACTAAAGCTCATTCAATGAGCTTTAGTTCAAAGTGCCCCACCATCATTTTTCAGCGCAGGGGACACTGGTACATGTGACACTCGGGCACTTTTAGTTAGTGTGGCTTGCTAATTTAAGTACGCCCCCTGGAGCATGTGTAAAAATGCCCTCTGCTTTTAACTACAGTGAAGGAGGCAATATAAAAATGCAGTGGTCCAGCAAAAACTACATTCATAGCATACAGTAACCAAAGAATTATAGAAAGACAGGGCTGGAAGGAATGCAGGAGGATCCCTAGTCCAATTCTGTTCAAATAGGATCATCTCTGTCTACAACATCTCAGATAAATGTTTTGTTTACTCTGAACTTAAACATTTCCCGGATTCTGCAGTCTCCCTATCTAACATGTTGCAGTGCTTAACCATCCTCGTAGCTAGAAAGCTCTTCCTAATATGCAAACTAAATCTCTCTTGTTGCAATTAAAGCCCATTACTAATTGTCCTGTCCCCTGTGGGTCACCATCTTCTTTATTACAATCCTTTTTTTCTTTTTTTTAGAAGAATATTATCAAATTCTCCTTGAGTCAGTGGACTTTTTGCAGTTTGTCCACATCATTCTTGAATTGCACTGCCCAAAACTAGACATAGTATTCTAGGTGAGGCTTTACCAGTGCTGTATAGAGTAAAATAAATCAGTTCTGTGACTTGCATGCTACATTCCTGTTAATACATCCCAGTGTGTTATTAGCTTTCTTTGCAACATTATATTGTTGACTCAGACTCAATTCACGACCTAAAATAACCCCCAGTTTCTTTTTATGCAGTGCTGCAACAGTTATCCCCCTTGTCTACTTGTGCATTTGATTGTTTTATCCTAAGTGAAGTACCTTGCACTTGTCCTCAATGAATTTCATCCAATTCATTTCAGACCATTTTTCCAATTTGACAAGGCCATTTTTCATCTTACTGTCCTCTTAAGTGTCTGCTCTCCCGCTCAGCTTGATGTCAACTGCATATTTGTTAATTGTCCACTCCATTCCATCCTCCAAATCATTAATGATGTTAAACAGTACTGGATCCAGGAGAAGCTTCAGAAGAACCATACTTGGTACCTCCTTCCACTTAAACACTGAGCCATTGATGGCTCCGCTTTGAACTTGATGATTTACCCACTTATGAGCTCACTTTATAGCACTTACATGTCAATCATATTTCCCTAGTGACTGAAGAGTCAACTCTCCTTAAGGGAATCTGCTTTCCCTGGCATTAATGTCCTCTTTTAATGTTTGGTAGGTTTGCTAAGCTGTATTCTAGAACTAACTAAAATTAAAAAGTAAATAGGTGCCTGTGTGAAAAATGAGTATCAGATAAAGTATTTTAAGAGCAGCTTTGACTTGGCCTACAAGTAAGAATTCAGAACTTTAGTTAGCTAAGAATTTTGATATTACTAAGGTTGCACACTTGAGATGTTGTACCTCATAACATCTGCTTCTTATTTTACCATCTTTGATTTCTTTCACCCTTGTAAATGTGTCAAGCACTACAGTTCTAATGCAAAACAAATGAGAAAGGTACTTTACACTTAAAAATATGTGAATCTTCTTGACATCCATTCAAGGAACTCACTTTCCCCCACCCAGTGATGGTAAATTTTAAACAAAAAGCTTCATACATATAATTAGTCTTAATGTAGAAGATTAAAGGGACATCATGTGCTTAGCAATTATGAATTGGATTCTTTGGTGGTAGAAATTGGCTGGCATTATCAAAAACATGGACTCATAGACTTTAAAACTCCTTAGAGTCAGGATGATCGAGGAGCTATGGCACTGGACTGAGAATCAGGAGATCTTGGTTCTGATCTTCATTCTGTAACTGATGTGCACTGTGAGCATGGACAAGTCGCTTCATTTCCTTGTCCTCATGTTTCCCCTCCAACCATCTGTCTTGTCTAACTTGACTTCAAGCTCTTTGGGACAGGGATTTTTTTTATTGTGTACTGTAGTAGCATTTAACACAGCAGGGCTCAATCACTCCTGGGGTCTCCAGACAAATGAATAATTATAATTAATAGCACCTCTTTTGGAAGTACCAAAAGAGGAAGCTTTGCTTTTGCCCATTTGGGCTTGTTTTCTCTCTCCCTTTGCAAGGTTCAAAGTAAACTCATCTGTTTTGTGTCTGTTCGTATTTCTCCCTGGTCAGGTTCTGCCACAGTAGCACATTGCTGCAGTGTCTGGGGTACAAACATGTCCAGAGGAATGTGTATACCTGCAATGTCAACATCCTGTCAACAGGTTCGGATGAGCTGCATCCGAGACTACTGAAAGAATTAGCCGATGTCATAGCAGAACCACTGGCATGGCTGTTTGAGCACTCGTGGTGCTTGGGTCAAGTCCCAGAGGACTGGAAAAGGGCCAATGTGGTTCCTATTTTCAAGAAGGGAGGAAGGAGGATCCAAGTAATTATAGGCCAGTCAGTCTCACTTCCATCCTTGGAAAGGTCTTTGAAAAGATTATGAAGTATCATATTTGTGGGAATCCAGTGGGAAAAATAATGCAGCAGGGAAACCAGCATGGATTCATAGCAGGTAGATCATGCCTGACCAATCTGGTTGTGTTTTATGACAGGGTCACAAAATGCTTAGACACAGGAGTAGAGGTGGATGTTGTTTTCTTGGATTTTAGCAAGGCTTTCGATACAGTATCTCATCCCATTCTCATAAATAAATTAAGAGGCTGTGACATAGATGTTTACACAGTCCGGTGGGTGGCAGATTGGCTTAGTGGTCACACCCAGAGAGTGGTAGTAGATGGGTCGGTATTGCCCTGGAAGGATGTGGGTAGTGGGGGTCCCACAGGGTTCGGTCCTTGGACCTGTACTCTTCAATATCTTCATCAGTGACTTGGATGTGGGTGTGACGTGTACTCTGTCCAAGTCTGCAGATGATACTAAATTGTGGTGTGAAGTGCACACTCCGAAGGGTAGGGAACAATTGCAGGCAGACCTGGACAGTTTGGAAAAGTAGGCAGTACACAATAGGATGCAGTACAACAAGGACAAATACAGAGTGCTGCACCTAGGGCGTAAAAATATCCACCACACCTATTGGCTGGGAAGTGACCCTCTTAGCAGCACAGAAGCAGAAAGGAATCTTGGAGTCATAGTGGACTCCAAGATGAACATGAGTCATCAGTGTGACAAAATCATCAGCAAAGCTAACCGGACTTTATCATGCATCAGCAGATGCGTGACAAATAGAACCAAGGAGGTGATACTTCCCCTCTATGCGGCATTGGTCAGACCGCAGTTGGAGTGCTGCATCCAGTTTTGGGTGTTGTACTTCAAGAATGATATTGATAGACTTGAGAGGGTCCAGAGGAAGGCCACTCATATGGTTAGGGGCTTACAGGACAAGCCCTATGAGGAGAGACTGAGGGACCTGGACCTTTTCAGCCCCTACAAGAGAAGGCTAAGAGGTGATCTTGTGGCCACCTACAAATTCATTAGGGGGATGCAGCAAGGGATCGGAGATGCTGTATTCACCAGGGCACCTCTTGGGATAACAAGGAACAGTGGTCACAAACTGACAGAGAGCAGATTTCCTGCCTAGGCATGGGGTCAGACTCGATCATCTGTTGAGGTCCCTTTCAACCCTAGCATCTATGAATCTGTGAATCCTGCTTCTATTAGATCCTTGTTAGCAGAGAACTTCACTGATCATTGTTATTGATTTGAAATTCTGAAATAAGGACATTTTTAGGAAATCAAAGCCTTGGGCCAGAATAGCTTCAACACTGTCTCCCAGAGGGTACATTAGTCTTATGCACATTGAGTTTTTTGCATGATGATCAAGGGTGGGGGGCAATTGTCAGAAGACACAGGAAGGTCCTAGGGGCTCACCAATATTTTCCCATGCCACAGGTTCTTGGGACCTTTACATGAGCCTGGGAAGCTCAGAAACAACATCTCCTTCACTTGCCCACTTCATGGAGAAACTGATACAGCCTCAGAGTCCTTCTCCAGTCCATGAACACCTTTCCCCTTTCCAAAGAGATTCTTGAAAAAAAGCTACTGGCAGAGAAAACCAAGTTCTGTGCAAGCAGAAGTGACCAGGGGACAGCAGAAGGCCCATGTGCAGGGCCTTTCTGATGCTTTTAGCAGAGTCTAATAATCCCTACGCATGGAGGGCATGGTTCTGGTATACGCATGGAGGGCATGGTTCTGGGGATATACCATTCACCAAGTCTCTCTTCTCCCAGTTTCCTTCTAGCAGAGCAAATGAGGCATTAGGAGATCATACTGCAAAGTAACTGCCAAAGCATAATTGTATATAAGATCACTCTGTTGAACCAGGAAAAGAAAGAATCTGACTGTATAACGGGTTATGTGCTGATAACTGTTGTTCTTCAAGAGTTACCTCCTTGCATTTACTTGTGCGAAATGGCACTTCTAGCATCAAGCTACAAGAAAAGTATAGCAAGGTCTGCTCTATACATAAAATAAATAAATAAATAAATAAATACAAATCCCCAGCAGATTATACATAATCATGAGGGGGGAAATCCTACCTGACCCATGCAGATGATCAGAAAAGTCTTACTTTTGGTCCCCAGGCACACAGCCTTGAACTCTGCGCTAGTGAATTTCATCACATTTCTATTACTCCAGTTCTCAAGATCACTCGGCTCTTTATGCGTGGTATCACAATCTTCCTATGCACTGAGGTTGTCTCCTAACTGTGCCTCAGAGGTGCCGTCCTTGTCTTCCATCAGACGATTAATGAAAATTTCACTAATAACTACTTTTCAGCCTGATCCTTTCCCTTTCAACGTTACCTTTTTCTGTTTCCCTTTTAGCCAGCTCCTTAGCTACTTCAGTTACTCTACTAATCTTCACCTTCTCCAACTTAACTAACAATCTCCTTCATTGAACCATATTAAACATTTTGCTGACATCTAAGTAGGCAAGATCTGCATTTCCTTTTTTTTAGAAAATCAGTTATTTTACCAAAAATCTATCATGTTAGTTCAATCTGAGCAAGCTTTGGAAGCTACTGAGGTCAAACTAACTGGCCTGAGATATAGCTACTAAAATCACTGTTCTCCAGCCATATGATACCTACCATGATTGGACAGATTTATTTAATACTCGTTAGTGGTCATCCAATTTTATGTGCCAGTTGTTTTAGCAGCCTGGGATGGAGATTATCTGTCTCCCCAGCTTGAGTGCATTATGATACTAGAGTTTTGTTCCCACCTTAGTTGTGGTAATTTCAATTTCTATACCTTTATTCCCATTAGCAATCTTGCCTTTCCTCCCATAGAAAACTAAAGTGAAATTTAGTCTTTGAGCAACACTGACAACTATCATTAATTTCTGCTCCACCCTTGCTGGATAGTGTCTCCATTTCTTTCCTTGTCATTTCATTATTTATAGAGCTGAAGAACCTTTCACTCTTTGTTTTAATATCTTTTGCAAGGTCTAACACTTCTGGCAATTCTCAACTTACTGCTGCATGGTCCACGGTTTTCTTTTAGGGAACAATCCTTTTTCCATTCTGTCTTGGTTCTCTGCTTTCTTTGCAGCAATATCGTTCTTCAGGCAGGTAATCTTGTAGTTTGGTCAGGTGCTCTTTTCTGCAAATGTTTTTTCCTCTTCTAGTACAGATGCCTGATAGAATGACTTGAAGAAACTCCTGGATCTCTCTGCATTCAAATGCCTGAATTCTTCAGTCATGCTGACTTCACTAACTACTTGTGTTAGCAATATCCCATTTAGCATTTTAAAATTGAGAACCTTAGTTACATACACAAAAGTAGGTATCCTTCCAGTAGTTTAAACTACATTTAAAATGAGTTTGGATGACATCATCGGCTCCATCTATGTTAAGAAGCATGCTTTTTCACAGCAACCACCTTACTCCCACCAATGGAGGGAGTTTTCAATCACTGTTGAAGATCACAGTGTTGGAGACTAGAGTGCTGGGCCCAGGAAGTGCTTATTAGGGCTGTGCGAAACAGCTGTGTTTCGATTCAGTTTCAGATTTGGCCATTTCAGAGGACAGTGATTTGTTTCAGCGTTTTGGATTACTGTCCTGTTTTGTTTTGGCCAAATCTGTTTCAAATGCGATGCAAGGGAAGCTTCATGCAACCCTACCCAGCCGGGCAGGGCTTGGGGCCAGGGGCTGCATGGCCCCAGCAGGGAGCAAGACAGGGCTGTGGGTGGCTTGTCCGGGGGAGGGCTGCTGCCCTTCATGCATGTGAAGAGACCCCCGCGTGAATCTCTGATCCCTGTTACACCAGGTCACAGGGCAGGGAAGCAGCGCAGAGTGGCAAGCAAGTCTGCTGGTCCCTGCTGCATGACTCAGCTCTGCATGGAGCAGAGATCTGCGCCGGGGGTCTCCTTGCCACCGCTGTCCATCCTGCACTGCCCTGGCGATGTGGGGCTGTGCGGGGCAGGCACTGAGACAGAAGCAGAACCTCTCCTAGGTTCACAAGGCACTGAACACCTGCATTTCTTTCTGGAAAGATGGCCAAGTAGTTGAACACATTTTGAATCCTCTTTGGGTGTCAAGGCCTAAGTTAGCCTCCAAGCAAATGACCCCAATCATCTAAATAACAATAAGGCTCTAGCTCTCAAACACAAAAAGTAGTTTTGGTTTTAATGCAGTATAGAAGGAACTAGGGTGGTCAGAGGCATGCACTCCGTTATTATATACATGGAACCAATAACAACACCCTAGTACATAAGCGCTACTCCACCTTTGAGAACATGCAACATACTCATTACACACCTCTGCAACTCGATGCTAGAAGCCCTAAATCCCATAAAAGTGCATGTACACAGATCGTTGAAACAAGAATGATATTCAAATAGAAGTGTGAGAGAAAATATGATGTGAGGTTAGCTCCTTACTGAATCCACAATGTAGCGATTTTGAAAGTAGTGTCTATTGTACGAGAGAGCTCAGGTTAGGTATACAGAGGTCTTTTTTTCTCTAAATATAATCAGTTATTTGAATATTGCACCTAAATAGGCTCTGGTAGAATTCAGCTTTCAGTGAAAAATATGGACGATTACTAGAAACAGCCATGGCACTTAGAGGTTGCAATGGATTAGATCTAGAGCTGCAGGGATTCTTGCTCACATATACACGTGAAATAACTTTAAAATTTAAAATTAAGAAGGAATTTTCACGCACAGCTTATTTGACAGGACATCTTGGGGGGTTTTTTCACTTCCCTCTAGGGTAGGGTTTTAACAGGAAAGGTTCTGTACATGCACAGTGCATTGAAGTGTACTCAGTAGTTTCTGACCTACTAATAGCTACACATACTTCAATTATTATGAATTACCTTATATTGCAGTAACTTCCAGAAGGCATAATTAACATTGGCATCCCATTTCTTAAGTGCTCTTGCCATGACATAGGTTCATTGCTATTTGCTGACAATGTTCTTGGCACAGAATTATCATTAACAGTTAATTTTTGCTATTGTTAGGTTTGTCACAGTAATTATGACCTTGATTTTTCTCTTGTCTGGCAGATGAGAGAGTACAGGACTTCATGCGTGCTGTACATGAAGAGATGACTAATACTAGCCAAGGCACAGTGGTTCAACTGGCATGTGCCCTATTTATCCAAGCTAGTGTTCACCTCTCACCCTTTTTCATTGAGCATGCTACCCTGTGGGCCAATAGCAGTCTGCAGCAAACCAACTTCAGTGAACCTAACAGGACTGCAGCACAGATAAGCGAATGGGTCTCCAGTAACATTGGAGGTAAAACAACTAGTAAAGATGATGACATAGGACACCACTAGATACTAGCAGGTGTACCCCAGTGTTCAATTAAGCATAATAAAGTTTAGCAATATGCTTTATGCAGAGAGGCATGGTTTAACAATCTGAACAGAAGACCTGGAACACGGAATGACTTAGCTTTAACGACAGCTCTGATACCAAGTCACCACTCACCTTAGGCAAAGTTTCAGTAGGGCTGCGTAAAGGTTCATAGCTCAGGCTCTTAATTGTTCAGCCTTAGTCTCCTGGGATATTGATATCTACTCTGCAGATATGGTCTTAGATTTGGCAAGTTAGGCCCACATTTGGTAAAAATACTGATTCTTGAGTTCAATGTGGAGAATTCTCCCAGGGAGCTGTGGATTACTCACAGGAGCAAGCTTCATGGTGTCAGGAAAGTTAAGATAGCTCAGCCAAATGGCTAGAGCCAGGGACTGGGAGAGGCCACAACCCAAAAGTTAAAGTCAGATGCTAAGTCAGGGGGCAAAAGCAAGAAGCAAATCCACTTTACTGGAATGTGTTCAGGTGCCTGTGGCCAACAGCTATCTAGCCATGGGGTCAGGAGCCAAATCCTGATAGCCAGAAGACAATCCATGGTCAGAAGTCAAGGTCAGGAAGTTAAAAACCTGCCAATTGCTTTCATAGATTAGCTGTGAATGAAATAGGATATCATTAACTAGAAAACTTTACACAAACATCAGCCCCAAGCATGGCGGGTACAACATTTACCTCACCAATCAGACATGGCCACTTTTGCAGCACAGCAGAAAAATAGGTTCATAAGAGTTTTAAACAAGAGTCTAAAATATCACTTGAACAGTGAGATGCAGGATTAACTCTGCAACATACTTAATCATGTAATAGAGTGGGCTCTAATGGTGAACAAATTCCAGGCTAAAATTTCTGGCATATATCAAACATGAGGAAATATATTTTGGAACATGTGCATATGCAAAATGGAAGATAATTTATCCTCTCTCTTTCTGTGCAGATGAGGAAGCAGACAGCATATCTTTGGAGAGGGCCAGTTCACCACTTAACCAGATAGCTGTGGTGAGCACCATGTACTTCAAAAGCATGTGGCAAAAGAAATTCTCCTTCACAGACACACAGCCCTTGGCTTTTACTACGGCTGAAGGCTTCATCCTGAAAGTGCCAACAATGTACCAAACAGCTGATGTTAATTATGGTAACCATTTTAAGTGATACTGTAAACTATGGATATTATTATTTATATAGTTCAGCATTGCCCACAATGTGGAAGGTGCTGTACTGACATTGAAGAAAGCCCAATCTCAGTTTGGAGAAACTCCAAGAAAAAAATATAATGGCTCAGAAACAAGCCTTTCCTTTATAGAAGTCTTCTGTGAAAATGAGGTAGACACTGGAATCGCAGGACAAGTTAAAGCAAAAGTAGAAGCCATTCATGCTCTGGACTTGGATGTAGAAACTTGAATGTTAGATTCTGTTTTAAGGCTCAGTTCTGCTCTCACTGAAGTTGAAAATCAAGTTCCTATCAGTGGGAGCAATATTGGACCCTTATTGAGGGAAGGTCTCTCGAGTAAAAGACTAGGATTATCCTCTTGCCTTATCTGAAAAAGTGTGAGATCTCCCCACCAGGAAAGCCACTTGAAGAATAGTTTATATTTTAACACTTCATCCATTGGAAGGCATCTGATAATGCTGCACACACTCTGGTACTGTTCTGCAGAGGATCACTGGATAGAAATAGAAATCTTAGTGCTGTGATGCATTTTCAAAACTAATGAGTGCTATGACCTAACAAGTAATAACCTACTGCCAAATACTTCAATATCATGACCATTAGCTATCCCTATATCAGTACCTGGGACATAGCATATAGATAGATACTCATTGATGCCCAAAAGTACAAACCTCTACATTTGTTACCACAGCTCCTGCATCTGAGTAGGGAAACCTATGAAACTGAGTAAGTTTGATATTCCATAGAGTAGAAGTCATTTTGCAACCAAGCATTTGTGCTGCAACCTATGTTTAACTCCTTCTCTGCTGACCATGGCAGAACTTGTTCCTGGAATGCCATTAACTATTGGAATACTAGCCCTATAGTACAGCACTGCACTGGGGGGTCTTATATTTCCTGAAGCTGGCACTGAAGTAGCATACAGTAAATGAATCACAGCATCCCCCACAGTGCCAAGATGGCATTTCTGGCACCCTGAAGCTCCTCTCCTAGACCTACACCTCCAACTCTGGCCTAGCTTTCTCATTGGGAGAAAAAAATCACAGTAAAGAGGATGCTTTGGGAAGGGAAAGCTTAAACCAGTCTGACACTTGCTTTGAAAGGGCCATTTCCACCTTCACACATAGAGAAGCCTTTATTCACAGACAGTTAAGGTTATTCAGAGGGCTTGCAATCTCAGCTTGCAGTGGCAAAACCAAGTCATGTCCTTACCTGCCTTTGATACTAGCAGCTAATAAACCCCTCCGTGTCATTGAGAAACCCACACACCACCAGAAAGCAGGAAGAGAAGTTTGTGTTTTGGAATGGAGGGCATCTAATATGACTCACTCAGGCACACAGTGAGTCATGTTAGAGTCTCACTGGAGTCACTTACAGATTCCAGCCATTTTCCTGTTTTCTAGAAGGAGCTTCTCAGTTGGGTATCCTGGAGAAAATGCCTTTGGAATAATCATGGCCTCATCTTCTCTGTTAACAAAGGCCATATCAATATATTCAGACTGTACATATCTTATAAGCATATTCCAAATGCCCAGAATGACTTCTTCCAGACACATTGGCCCATCTTCCACAGATCATATCATTTCAAGAGTTACAATGTAGGTGATGTAGCCAGCAGCAACCAATTAATTCAGAGCCTATAAAGCCACAAAGGGTGAGCATGATTTTCTGGTCTGACCTCCTGTATATCCGAGCCCATAGAACTTCCTACCTTTACCTGTTTGAACTATAACCTATCTTTCAGGAACAAAAAAAATCCAGCCTGGATTTAGTAATGACTCCTATAGCCTGGTAGCTAGTAATGAGTTACTAATTTGAAAACTCACTAAATTTATGACTTTTTGTAGATACAGTTTTGGTAACTTCTGTTTGAATTTGACAAGTTAAAGTGCTTTGCAGTTCAATAAAGAGGCATGATCTTGAAAAGCAGCTCTAACTGTGATGTTCACCAGTTTGGGGTAAAGTAGTTCTCAAATGAACTACTCAATTCTTTTACCCTGTCGTGAAGACAAGAAATTGAGGATTCACTCGTTCTCAGTGAAGGATTTTTTAAAATTCATCAATAAGTGTAGTTAACAAATGGTGCAGGGCTGAAAGAACTAAAGAATTAAGATACCTATTTACTCAAACAGGCATAGCAAGGATAGTCACCATGCAAAAACACCCACACTGCCTCACCAACATGCTTCAGCCCGGACCACTGGGACTACCTTTAGCATGAGAAGGTAGCCACATACCTATAGTTCATTGGACTGTCCTTTGAGACAATCATTAAGGGTGCTGGACTTTGTCATTTTTGTTGCTCTTGACATGTGATGTGGACACTTGTCTGATAGGAAGGGTATTGAGATGATCAACTCAATTTATGTCAACAATAATAATGTTCAGTTATTAGCAACCTGATCCACACTCAAGCTCATGACTTAGTGGTGAAAGACTGTATCCTCATAACTGCCTTTTTCCTTGAGTGATGGATTATGTTCTCAAACCTGCAGGTCAGTTCCACACAGCATCTCTGGAGCAGTTCAGTGTCATTGAGTTGCCTTATCTGGGAGAGACAGTCAACATGTTTGTGGTGCTTCCCAGTGACCGAAGAACATCTCTATCCCACATTGAGTCACATCTCTCACCTAAAACTATCACCCTCTGGGCAAATAATCTGAAGAGAATAAAAATGGATATTTTTCTGCCTAGGTATGTGACTTTACACTTCTTCAAGGGTGTGGCTATACTCTTACCTTCTGTTTTAAGAGTTGTGTGTATGGTACTGCTGATATGATTACAGACATAGAAAGCATGTCTTCTACTGGAATACTTTCTTCTCTACTCTACTCATCACATCATCATGAGGCAGGCAAGCCCTAACCTATCTTGATCCAAGAAGCAGAGATGTCTGGGGTATTCAAAACACTGTAAGGTATTTGGTAGGGTATAGCTATAACTATAGTCCCTCCCTATATTTAAACAGTTAGTATGAGGTACCATAAACCTTTAGGCTAAGTACAGACAGTCAAAAAGCCTGAGGCTGAATTGGTTCAATCTTTGCAGTTTAGTCTGAACTGTGCAGATTGAACTAAAAAGCAAGTGAACAGACATTCACTTTTGTTTCTGGAAATGCAGCCACATGCCTAAAGTGGCTCAGGGGAGAAGCTGGGGGGCACTAGAGCACACCTCCCAGCCTGCCAGCCAGTGCCAAAGAGAAGGGAGGGAAGCTGGGAAAGAAGCCCTCCGAGGCTTTTCCACCACTCCCTGCTTGAGCTGAGGGTGGGGGCATGGCCAGGCCCCTGCCAGCCTGCTAAGTATGATGGGGGGAGGTTTAAACCCCCACCCTAGCCTACATGGACCCTAGCCAGGCTGTGTTGGAGAAGCAGTGGGGGGGGGGGGGGGGGCCCCGCCCCCCCCC